TTCAATGGGACCCCCTCCAACCGGCCTATTAGCCTTCCATTGAGTGAACAAAATTTGGGCCATATCCTTCAATTGATAGGCGGCAAGTTCCGCTTTCTCAATAGAAGTCACCCCCATAGCATTGCCTACCTTATACACCGCATCTAAAAACTCTTGGGGATCCTCTCCCACCTTAGATCCAAGAAACACCGGAGGATTCATCCTCATAAAGTTTCTCAACCTAGAAGCCATAGTACTCACATTAGGGTTCACATTAGCCTCAATACCCCTAGTAGCTTGAGCCATCATGGCTTGAGCTTGAATAGTAACGGCTTGAGCCATCATCAAAAAAGCCGACCTAACTTCCTCATTGGTCATAGCCAGGGGATCCTTCGAAACTTGATTTCCTAGAGGAACTTGGTCACCTTGGTTACCTTGGGGAGGAACTCCCTCGTTCACAATCTCCTCTTCCACCCTTCTTGGGTTAGCCCTTATATTCATATCCTATAAACACAAGAGAAGGATTAGAAAAAGGACATTTATAAAGCTAAATTCTAAGGCACAACGTTAAGAATATGAAAGAAGTGTAACTTTCTAATGTCGTACAGCCTCTCGCTCATAGATGTATCGCTACTCACACCAATGAACAAGACTCTACTAGACGTGACTTGTAAGACATCAACCCTTAAAACTATTTCCAAAATCTTATGCTCCGATACCATGTTTTTCACGACCCGAGAGCACTCTCTAGTCGTAACACGGCGTACTCGACCCCGAAGGGGTCTTATACAAGCCTCATAGCATTCATTCATAGCATAGGTAATTAAAATAGTACGAAATTAAAAAAATTCATTTAAAACCATACGATTCAAAACATTCATTTAACAATCTTTCAAAAGACGCGCGGAAGTCTAAGTCTCACATGGCCATCTTAAACACAATCTCAAGACATAAGTAGGACACAACCTTTAAAATACGTAAAACTACTAAATGTCTATTACATAGAAAAGGAAAGAACTACAAAAGGCAGTTGTCCTCGATCTATGAGGACGTACCACTCTAGCCTTGGAGGAATAGCAATCCAAGCACTTCAATCTAGCTAGAAGCAATCACTTGTCGGAACCTACACTTGTAGTTAAAATAAGAGAAATATGGTTTAGCACACAGAAATGTACTAAGTATGATGACCATGCAAAAGCATGCTTTAAAAGGGACATTTGGTTGGAAACCGTGCATTATGCCACTTTTTAGAAATACCATGAACAATAGCATGAGAGACATACAATACAAATATAACCTTCATACAAGTCATAACTCCACATTTAGACAATATCATCATGTAAACATTACCTTCACCTTGGACCTTCACCTTAAATAACCCTCATGCTATACCTTGTGCAATGCATAGATGGCGTCTCATACCACCATTCACACCAAGGCACCATATTAAGGTCACAAAAGGTGAACTTATCATTTCTTCCTTTTAACCTTTACACCATATTCATACATAGGAGACATAACATTTCATAAGGCATGACAAAGGAAAATAACTGATAATACAACCCAAATATAGCATGTATATCACATTAAGCATTTAAGAGACAACATTCTTCAATTACTTCATTTAGAGGACTTTCATTCATTAGTCATTAAGACTTAGAGAACTCACTATAGCCCTCTTGAAGCCTACTCGTGCCATGTATGTATAGCATCCCATACTACTACCAACACTTCATAGAACTTCTCAAGAAACTATAATGCACATCTCACATGATGGGAATAGGCATTTAACCGACATAGACCATGAGAGCTAAGTCATGGAATCCGGTGTCATATAACCCCACACCGAAGAAAGGTGTTCTACTTGCCTAAGGTAGAACTAGGTGATATCTTAGCTTTGGTTAGAAGACCACTAGCTAATAAATATCCTATGTGGGAACATAGTTATGGGATAGTAAGATGTTAATTGGAACCCTAGCCTAACATTGGGAGAGTTTCCATCTTACCATATCCACTCGATACTTAGTCTCCATTACCATAGAGTAGTTCATTCACAGTAACATCATTGTACTTGAGAGGGCTACCAATACTAGGTCTACCGACCCCAAAGTACATTACACTAGAAAGGGCCACCATCACTAGGTCAACCGAATCAAGGTACATTAAGGGTAGCTCATTGACTTTCCAAGAAGGGTGCCATCATCATTGGGTCTACCGATACAAGGGTCATCATCTCACACATGTAAGGGTTTCCATCATTTGGGTCTACCGATTCAAGGTTTATCATTCATTCATTTATGAAAGGAATGGCATAGGCCTATCAATTCATAATCATTATGTAAATACACATTCATCATACAATAGAGGGTGCCAAAGCCTACCAATTCAAGATACTTCATTCATGATCACATTAGTCAATATAAGAAAAGGATGCCTTAAGCCTACCAATTCAACATATACAATACATAAGAGAAAACCCTTCACATTCCATCATTCATCATTCATGAGTGTCAATAGAGAATATACTATCTACAATAACACAATTACATTCTATACATGATCATTATTTCATCATTGAATCGCATGCATATCCTTCACGTAATAATCATACATAGTAATTAAACACCTCCACCTTTCAAGTGGATCAACATCTCTAGCACAATTCTACTTCAATGTGTAATTTAGCCATAACTTGCCTTCAAGGCCATGAATCTCAAATCATTAACACACCAACAATTTACCATGATTAAGGCATATATAATGATATAATTCAATAACCCAATGCAATTTTAACATATTCCAATCATAAGCTTTCATAATCAACAAACCCACTTCATAAAGGCATAATTTAGGAATTGAGAGAAATCATGGGTTCATAGTGTATTTTCATCATAAATCATCAATTAAAACATCAATACAATCATTATATGACATTAGAAACCATTTTGAAAATCGTTTTGAAGAAAGAACCCATGAGATTGAGTAAAACCCTAGGTTTTTCATGAATTTGAAAACTTCTTTGAAATTGACTCTAGGGTGAAACATAACCCTAGATGAAGGATCACCATACCTTTACTAAGATTCCCCAAGAATTTTAATGAAGAAACGCCTTGAATCCAAAACCCTAACTCCCACTTCTTCTTCTTTTTCTTTGGGAATTTCTAGAGAGATAAATATTTGAGAGGAGGTGGGTTTCTTTTTTATTCTATTTGGATTGACTTAAATGAGAGAATTCAAGTCTAAAAAGGTCTTAAAAGGGTTATATAGTTTCTACGAAAGGAATAGAATAATAAGGACTCAACTTAGGAAAAGAACTAAGAACCCTTAAAGTTCCAACTTAAAAATTCCCCTCCTTCACGACTTACCTCGCCCATTTGCCCTTCTTGGTTTGCCAAGGGTACTAGGCGACTCGCCAAGTGCACCCTTTACTCGCCCAAATTTCCAGTGAGCTTAATATTTAGGTAGTCCGCTAGGCAATCTAGAGGGGTCAAAGGGCGACACGTCAAGCTGGTTGGCGAGCTTGGACTTAGCTCGCCCTTTGGTCCAGCATCTTGGCCAAATGGGGCAGCCACTAGGTGAGCAAAAGAGCTCAAGGGCGACTCGCCCAACCATTTGGGCGATCAAACATCCCCATCGCCAAACAGCCCCTCAAGGAACAAGGCTTCTTTCACCCTATCTTGCTAGCCTAGGACTTTGTTTGCACCCTAGGCTTCTACCTTGCTCCATTTAGGTTCTAAAACAGCCTAGACATCAACTTAAAGTCACACTAACCCAAACGTTAAGGCTCTAGTTCAACCTATCATTTTCCGAGTCGTTACATCTATTGCTTCTATGATTCACTTAACAACAAGCACACATCAACTACGAATTATAATTTCTATACAACATTAAGAATATGCATTTCAACATATTTACATGGTATTCTATCATTCTTAGGGCTTCAATCATGCAATTTATTCTTTCAAACAATAATACTTTAAAACCCTAAGTCAAGAAGTGCATCTAGATATACATGATACAATTTAATCCAATTAATCAACAACACCCACAAAACCATCGTTCCAAGGGTAATTTAGAACTAATACTAACATTTTTAACATATAAATCATACCCAAGGTCAAGTACAACTTTGTGATCTCAACATTAACTAATAAATAGTTTATGGTGTCGAAATCAATTACCTTTAAAGTAAGCAAAGTTGGTGGGTGTGTTCCTATTAGGCTTCTTTTCAACCTTCAAACACTCGTGATGCTAAACCCGGACCTTTTCTTTAGTTGGACAGTAATATAGGAAGAAGAAAAAGAAGCAAAAGAAGAAAGAAAAAGGAAAAAAATTGAGAGAATAAGTGAGGGATTCTGGGAGAGAAGGAAATGGAGTAATTCTAGGAGTGATTTGGTTAAATGGGCGGTTGGGAATGTGTAGGGGTGGTTATTTTGAGAGTTGTAACGGTTGGGGAAGAAAGAGAGAAATAGGGGATGTTTTTAAAAATGAAGAGTTTTAATTAAAAGGGGTCCGGGTCGGGTCGATTGTAACCCTAGTTTGGATCCATGAAACCCCATCGACGGTCCGTGAGTCAATCAACGGTCCGTCGATGGGTTCCGTGGTTCTCCCTGACACTTAGTGATTTTTAGAAAACATACATGGGGTCTACGGATGCCATCTACGGTCCATAGATTGAACGACAGACCGTCTATGGGAACCGTAGACCACTGTACTAGTGACTATTTTGCAGATTTTTTTCTATGCATTCTTTCACACGTAGCAAAAATTATGACTTCCTTTTTACATTTTCTTGACTCTTTTGGGACACGGACCCTATTATATCCTACTCAAGCCAATCTCTAAAAATTTCATAAAACTAAACTTCTATATAAAAGGAAAGAAAGCTAAAAGTTCATAAAAATATATAAACATTCCTAAGATTGGCTAGATATTACATCTTGGGTTGCCTCCCAAGTAGCGCTTGATTTAACGTCGCGGCACGACGTAGATACCTTGATTACTCAGACTTCATCGAGACCCTATTTCTCTCTCACTTTATTAACTTCTTCAAACTTCCCCAAGTAGACCTTTATCTGCTGACCATTCAACGTGAACCTCATTCCTTCATTATTCTCGAGTTTAACCACTCCATGTGGAAATACTTGAGTCACTTTGAAAGGCCCGGTCCACTTGTACTTGAGCTTGCCAGGGAACAAGCACAACCTTGTGTTAAATAAGAGTACCAAATCACCGGGAACAAATTCTCGTTTGCGATCTTTTATTCATGGTACTTCTTCATCTTCTCCTTGTACAAGGCTGAACTCTCATATGCTTTCAGGCAAAACTCATCGAGCTCATTCATCTCATTCAATCTTTAACTTGATGCGGCGCCCCAATCCAAGTTCAGCTTTTTGAGTGCCCACATCGCTTTGCGCTCTAGCTCTACAGGAAAATGACAAGACTTCCCATATAAAACTGGTAGGGGGACATACCTATGGGAGTTTTGAATGCAGTACGATAAGCCCATAGATCATCATCAAGTCATCTTGACCAATCTGTTTTGTTTGCATTCACAGTCTTTGCAAGAATTTGCTTTATTTTTTTATTCGACACTTCAACTTGCCCACTAGACTGTGGATGATAAGGAGTTGCGACGTTATGACGAACACCATAGTTCTCAAGCAACATTTTGAACAACTTATTACAAAAGTGAGAACCTCCATCGCTGATAATTTCCCTTGGTGTACCAAATCTGGAGAAGATATTCTTTTTCAGAAATGTTGTGACACTCTTACCTTCATTGTTTGAAAGCGCTACTGCTTCCACCCATTTAGACACATAGTCAACCGCTACAAAAATATACTTCATCCCATTCGAACTCACAAATGGACCCATGAATTCAAGACCCCAAACATCAAACAACTCAATCATTAGTATCGGGTTCATTGGTAGTTCTTGCTTCCTTGAAATTCCTCCTTCTCTTTGACAACGATCACAAGACTTGGTGAACTCATGAGCATCTTGGTGGATAGTAGGCAAATAATACCCACACTGCAAAATTTTGTGAGCAGTCCAGATACCACTATGGTGCCCACCAACAGGGGATGGATGACACACCTCCAGTATACTCATCATCTCAACTTCTGGCACACAACGACGAATAATCCCATCAGTACAAATATGAAATAAGTAAGGCTCTTCCGAAAAGAATTTCTTCACATCAGACATGAATTTTCTTATTTGGTGAAATGATAGATCCGAATGCACCAAATCACTTGATAAATAATTAGCAAAATCTGTGAACCAAGGAATAAGGTCATAAAAAGCAGACAATACTTGTTCATCAGGGAAAGCATCATCAATTTCGACTCCATTTTCTAACTTGATCATAGCTTCTTCTTCTAATCTAGACAAGTGATCAGCAACTTGATTTTCAGTTCCCTTCCTATCTTTAACTTCAAAGTCGAACTCTTGCAGCAATAATACCCATCTAATCAGTCTTGGTTTTGCATCTTTCTTTGCCATAAGATACCTTAATGCGGAATGATCAGTATGCATAATGACTTTAGTGCCAAGCAAATAGGATCTAAACTTCTCAAATGCAAAAACTATAACAACCAATTCTTGTTCAATCACAATATAGTTCTTTTGAGCAACATTCAAAGCTTTGCTCGCATAGTAAATAGGATGAAGAATTTTCTCTCGCCTCTACCCAATACTATGCCAAGTGCCACCCCACTCGCATCACACATTACCTCAAACGGTTGTCCCCAATCTGGTGAAATAATTATTGGTGCAGAAATCATTTTCTCTTTCAACTCCCCAGCTGCTCTCAAACAAGCATCATCAAACTCAAACTTAGATTCCTTTTCGAGTAGTTTGCACAATGGGTGTGCAATTTTCGAGAAATATTTTATGAATCTCTTGTAGAAACTTGCATACCCTAGAAAACTTCTAACACCTTTTACAGAGATGGGTGGTAGCAGTTTTTCTATTACCTCAACTGTAACTCTTTCAACTTTAATTCCTTTCTGCAAAATTCGGTAACCCAAAACTATACCTTCTTTCACTATAAAGTGACATTTTTCCCAATGGAGCACAAGATTGCACTCTTCACACCTTTTTGGCACCTCAGCCAAAGGAGTCAAACAATCATCAAATGAATCCCCAACTATAGAAAAAATCATCCATAAAATACCTTTATCATGTCCTCCACTATGTCAGAAAATATAGACATCATGCAACATTGAAAGTTTGTCGAAGCATTACATAACCCAAATGGCATTCTTTTGAATCTAAAAGTCCCATAAGGACAAGTGAAAGTGGTCTTCTCTTGATCTTCCAGAGCTATGGAGATCTAATTGTAGCCCGAATACCTATCTAGAAAACAATACCAACCCTTTCCAGCAAGACAATCTAACATTTGGTCCATGAACGACATTGGAAAGTGGTCTTTCTCAGTCCATGCATTCAACTTGCGATAGTCCATACATACTCTCCAACCAGTCACCGGCCTCATCGGAACGAGCTCATTCTTAGCATTGGGAACCACAATGATTCCTTCTTTCTTTGGCGCACATTGCACTGGGCAAACCCAATTACTATTTGGAATAGGGTATACCACTCCAACATCTAACCACTTGATGATTTCCTTCTTTACAACCTCTTGCATCAGGGGATTAAATCTTCTTTCGTGCTCAATACTTGGCTTGCTGTTGATAAAGCTCAACTACACTTAATTTGATTCTAAGTGTAGGTGGTCGTAATCAAGTATAAACCCAACGAAGAGTTGGGGTCGATCCTACAGGGAGTGATACAGTAGATAATTCAATTACGAAGTGAAAAAAGTGTTCCAATCGTTTGTAGAAGTAGATATTTTCAAAATAATTAAAGTAAATGACATAGGTTTGACAACTAATGTCAATTAGGGGGGATTAGAGTGAGCAATTAACAACTACGAAAGCACGAGAGTAATCAAGTAGAGAGGGATCCTTGGGGATGTGATCGATTAAATTCCAATTTCACTGTACGAGTGATTATTATTTACTACAAGCCATTGAATTTTAGTGGGTAGGGTAGGCTTTAGGTGTAACAACTATTTCTCAATCAACTATTACGAATCAAATGAGTTCTCTCGAACCTCGACAAACTCAACAAATATGAACAACCCAAAACCTCTATAAATCTACTCTCTCAAGCTAGATTAGTAGGATTGAATTTAGACCCCCTTTCTCAAGCTAAGTTCACAATAACCCAATCACTACAATCATCAATTGATAGCTTTAATTCTAAGACTTCTTTCTCAAGCAAGCTTAGAATACTACACTAGAACTGCATTTGTAATTACAATTCATCAATTCGAACTCAACTATCAATTGAACCCACTTCAAATCAACAATTAAATCAGTAAATACTAACACCCATAAGCTAATTGAAACATTCAATCACATAATCACACCCCCAAGAATGGGGGTTTTAGCCAATCATCATAAAAAGCAAGAAAATATTACCAACTATGTTCTCCATCAGTTTAGGTAACAGATTGCAAGTCTTCACAATGCTCAAAAGCAGTTCCAAATCAAAACCAACCCTAAATTCCTTCTTAAAAGACTAAAAACAATGTTCAGAGTGCTTTAGATAAAAACCCTAGAGTTTGAATGTGAAGGAACTGCTTTTCCTCTTTTCAAAATTCAATTTATACGTTCTTGGATTTTTGGCTTCAGAGCCATTCGGCGGAATAAGTCGAGCGTCGCCGACTAGGTCGACGACGCACCAAATGCTCCTGTCCATCGCTTTTTTTGCTTGAGTGTTTATACTTTCTGTGTTGTAACTTTAGGCGATCGAAGTCGTTCCTTCTTTTCGCCTTTTGACTTGTTGTTTCACCAATCATCCTGTAACTTTAGGCAGTTTAAATCTCCTTCACCAATCCAATCAGCGCGTTGCTGACTTATACATTCCATCGCCGAGTTGTCTTTGTCCAAGGGCTGGCCTGCTGTAATTTTTGGCAAGATGAAGAGCTACTCGGCGATTCGTCGAGTGGCTTTGGCGATCATCAATCTTTCTTTTCTTCAGCTTTTTCGCTTCTATTTGCTCGGTAATGTCCGTTCCTTGCTCTTTTGCCTTCATTGCTACAAATTAGCATTTAAACATCATTTTAGCGCATAAAATAGGCATTGAGGAAACTAAAACTCTAGATATTAAGCCCTAAATGAGTCGGAATTTCTGATTCATCAACTGTATGGCATGAGTTGGATTTTGTGAGTACAAATGCCCGGTAGAATACCAATAATATCAACAATAGTCCATCCTATAGCCCTTTTGAATCATTTCAGTACCGATATTGTCACACCCCGAAATAGGGGGCATAACTGGCACTAGAAACCCTATTAGATCAAGTTACCCACTAAAACATACTAGCTAACCAAACTGTGAGACAAAAGGATTGGGCAGCACAACTTCTAAAAAGTGAAGCCTAAACCCTGAAGGTCATGACCTAAATGAGAATAAACCATACAAACAATGGTAGACAAGCTAAACAAATAAAGATGTATTAGCTAGTCGGCGAGGCCACAACTGAAGATATACCTACTTACACACACACACACATATATATACATGACAAATCTATGGGCTGGAGATTGAAACATACAAAAGAAAACCAAGAATATTGTGTCCACAATAGCCTCTATTAGTGACATAAGCACTGTCGAGACAAGGCCCCCACTATACCCAAACTGTACAACAAAAGTAAATCTCTTATGATAGCCCAGGATAAGATGAAGCTTACTAACTCACAGTTGAACCTAAATCCTAGCGGGTGGATCGATCAGAATCCCTGCTTGAACCTGCTCACATGAAACAAAAATCAGTCTCCAGGCAATGGGACGTCAGTACGAATAAAAATGTACCGGTATGTGATGTGAGGCCAAAATACATATTTTTAATCATTATTTGCCTCATATTTATTATTTATATTTGTCCTTTTTGAGCATGAATTTTATGAATTGTGCTTAATAGTGTATTTTATTTGTAGGATTGAATTGATGGAAAAATAAAGAAGTTTGGAGCTAAAAAGAATTAAAGATAGAAGAAGGAAATCAAGCAGACAGCTTAATGGATTAATTTTAATATAATAATAATATTTTTTATATATGGGCAAAGTGCTGCAGAATGCGAATTTTGAAGGAATTAAACATGTGCCACGTGGCAACTATTCAAGGCGAGACGATGAAGTGTTGGAGTCGGCTACTGTTCACGTGGAATTCAACTCCTTTTAGGTTTTGAGTTCCTAATTTGTTTTGGACTCAATTATTTTATTCAGGGTTTCCTACATCTATAAATAGTCCATAAGAATAATTATTAGGGGAAAAGGATACAATGTAAAAAGTAGCTTTTGATTTAGGGTTTCATCTTTTCTTTCTCTTTTCTTTGAATTCTTTCTCTTTTCTTTGAATGATGGGTGGTAATTGCTCTATGTCTATGTGGAGTTAAACTTCTCGTTCTTGGATTATATTTACTTACAATATTATTGTTTAGTGATTTTGATTCGGCATGATTTGTTTATCATATTAGTTGTTCTTATATTCTTGTGATTACTATTTTGATGCTTGATCACCATTGAAATGAACATATTGTCCGAATTGAACTCGGAAGAGGAATAAGAGGATAGAACGTGGGACTTAAGGAGCTTGTTTAACTCTAAATAGTTAGGGTTGATTCGTATCTAGGATAGGGATATACCTAGAAACCTCGCTTGGATCACCATACAGGAAGAAATTGTAATGCTCGGTACTTAATCCATCATATCCCCATTCAACGATGTAGTTATGGTGTTATTTATCATAGGCGATTAGAGGTCGAAAGACCATGATCATACATTTAACTCTGTGATTCAATAACTATATAATCAAATAAGCTGATGAAATTGATGTTAAATATGATTGCTAGTTAAATTATAATCTTAGATCGATTCATTCATTGATTGTGTAAACATCTACTTTTCTTAGTTAATTGCTTTTTAGTTATTTTATCTTTATTTTTATTTTAGTTAATATATATTAATATTTGAAATCCTCCCCTTAAATAAATAATTAGAATTAATATAATTTAGTAAATAGTTAATTGACAAGTCCTTTGGGTTCGATAATCCGATTCTTTTAAGAGCCACTATATTACTTGTGAGACCACGTACACTTGCGTGTGCAATTGGAAGCAACAGTATGTAAAGCGGAAACTAGAATCATAAATAGTTACTGAAAAAGGGTCATAGAGATACAACCTGAAACTCAAATAATCTCCCTGGCTAACATTTGGCCTCCTACTATTTAAATATGCATGGTATGCTCATATAATCGTATGTCGTGAATACATATATATATATATATATATATATATGCAAATGCATGACATACCCAACCAAATGCTAGCAATGGTGGTGTTTCCCGATAGCTAACCGGCATCATATACGCCAACATGTGGCCATCGGTGTCTCATACGTAAAAATATAGGCAATAGGCCCCATACCTCTCGATTATAGCCCGGGAATAGAATGCATAGCATGTCATTTCATGGATTTATAACACCTATATGTTACCATTGTCATGTTACCAATCTTGGCCCGTTTGTAGCTTTGTTCTCATAACACCATAATCACTTTCGTATAACATGTAACCATCTCATGGAACCTCATATGTTCTTCCAAATAAGCTTGAAAAGTTAACTCGAATTTTAGAAAGATAACCTAACCTTGCAGATATTGATAACAAGTTTAAGGTGATTTACTTTGTTCCTAACTTGGTTCCTAGATAATTTATAAAAGAAGTATTTCAAAAACCAAGTGTTCTAATAGTTTAAACATTTAAGTTATATTTGAGAGTTTTGAAGATCATGAGTTACTTTAAAGATTTTTCATTATAACTTTAGTAGGGAAAGAGGGCTGGTTACAAGTAATAAGGGTCTCCCGTGATATTTTAAGTCACATCACCGAAAGAAGAATAAGAATTCATACATGCAGACATATAATCAAGGAAACTGATAAAATGACATGTAGATGTCGAATACTCTATTTCCGAATGAGTGGAATATCAAAATAATAGAATCATCAAAATAATTCAGCTTAGATCCCAATGCCTTTCACTAAAGGTCTTTCTAGTAAGAGAATAGCAAAATATCACATTCGGCATTTTAGGAATTTCCCTGGAGTGGCGCTAAAATGAGGGACGAAGCTTAGCCTTAGCATACCTTTCCAATGAACGCTTGAATGGTCATAGTTTCTCCACAAAAGTTGTTCCTTATGTCCTAAGCTTCGCAAACACTATATAAACACAAGTGGTACACACCTATAAACAATTCATAATTGAGCTTAAATCAACAGATTTGCCGTATGGCCTCAACTTGATGAAATGTCCGTAGAACTCCATAAAAACAATCATAAAAGAGTCCCGAGATGATTACCTTAGTTAACCAAGTGTAAACCTTGAAGAAACACCAATAACTACCAATTTATATCTTCAAGAAATAGCTCCAAACGCAGCTAATAGAAGGGGAAAATGATTGCCACGTGTAGAGATCACGTTTCTAGGCACGGGGGCAACCTTTAATGGTAGAAATCGTCAAACACTAACCTTAATCATGAAAGAACTACATTAGAACCCTTTCTTAAGGTTTCTTTCTGGTTCGGGAGTGGAAATAAATGTTTTCACAGCCTAAAATGTCGAGTAAGCCGACATACCACATTTTTTACTCGACTCAAATCGCGACCCAGATTCTACCCCGCAGTCCGCGGTAAAACCCTCATAACTTTTTACTCCGATGCCTGTTGAATACGGGGTTTTGTCGTTGCAAACTAGACTCATAGGCCTTTGATTTGATAGGTCATGGGCCATCTAACTCATTATATATTGGGAGAAAACATCCAAGACATTTGACCCAAAGTTAAGAAAATATTATTAGAGAAACTTCAATAACTTTTGCCGACCTAAGTTTCACTAGTTTTCTTGACTTCAAAACTTAACATACGAACTTTGTGCTATTATAATACCTCATAACACAATATTCTTAGCATGTTAGACACTCATAGGATTACCCCAAGGTATGAGATAATTTAAAACTTTCAAACGGGCGAAGTTCTACCCGAGCCATTTCTTTAATCTAGAACTTTGTCTGAGGGGTCCCTTTGACCTAAAACTTTAGTTTAGTTCCTTGATATTGCCACCCATTTGTAATCTTAATCTCCAATGTACGATACCAAGCCATATACACCTCATATAACCATACCAAACTACGCCACACATATTATGCAAGAATAGAGAAAAAGTACGGGATCTTACGGATATCAAAGCCTCTATTTTCCCTTCACTCAAGTCAGCAACAATTATAACCGGCAAAGTACTATTTTGGCGAAATTTTTAAACTTCTAATTTTCTATGTTTTCTATTCTTCTTAGAACACCCAATTTAGTACATATTTTATATTTATTTATAATATAATCTAAAAAGTATTAAAAGAGGAAACATTTTCAAATTGAAGGATTGTGACTTTGAAGGGAGGCAAGAGTTGAATAAGCGGGTTTAAAAGTAAAAATAAAGTAGGGCTAAAAAATCTAAAAGAACAAAAAGAAACATAAAAATAAATTTCGAAATTCTAAAGGTGCCACATAGACGGGCCTAGAATTCTCTTTTATATATATAAGATAAGATTATAAAATAATGGTAACTACAGTATACTAAATTGAAAAGTGGTAGAGGCATAAGTATGATATGGTGCGAGAGATATTACTGTTTGACTAAAGAATATGTAGGCGCAGATCTTTTTCATCTTATGTTCTCTTTCTCTCTCCTCACTCCTCACCCTTAATCTTCTCCATTTCTTTCCACTCACTTTTTAAAGAAAAAATTCTTCTATTTTCTAATATTTTAGATTAGTGTTTTTTAGTCACGAATTTTATTAATTCATTTTTTATATTATATATACATACCATCTAGATGCATATATTTTATTTTAATTTTTTTTTAACTATATAGAAAATATAAGAAAATAAATAAGGAGGAAATTATAAGATAAAAATTAAACTTTTACCTATAAGATGAAAGTCTAGAAAGTCAATTAACTAAGCTATTAGAATTCTT